AAAAAAAAAAAGAATATGCATATATATCACAACCAAAATAATGTTGACAATACAAAACAGCTTATTAGGTTCCAAAAGGAGGTTGAATGAGGTGTAGTCCAGTATGTGATTTATTTTAGTTCCATGGACCTGTGATAGGTCATGTGTCAACAGTTTGATTCAGTGATTCAGTCCATAGGTTCACAATTCCTACCGCAACGTAGCGGTGGTCGGGTGGCTCGCCATCTTGCGCTGATCAGGGCTGATCGCGGGAGAAAAAAAAAAAAACCTGACCTAAACAAGGTCAAAAACATAAATTATCATTCACAGAAGAAAATGAAACAGCATTCTACTGCTGTGACAAAATAAATACATATATCCATAAATAACAAAGACAAGTAATTAATGCCATGTTCCACACAACAATCAACAAACCATCATCTCTTATAATGAATTTCATTCAAAATACTATTATAGAAAAAGATTCTCATGGGTCCCATCAAAGTATATCAGCCATAAAGCTAATAAACATTATCCAAAGTTAATCAAATATATTTACAAAACTCATTTAATCACAGGTGTTGCGCAACAGATTCAATAATCTAAATGGAATTTACCTCAATGCAAAATCTCATAGGCCGCTTTGGCATTTCATCAGAAAAGTAACAAAAAACATCCAAAACGGACAAAACTACAAAAATCAAATCACTCGTTCAACTCTAGATACGTCAAGTCAACATTCGGCCATAATGGAATAAACAAAAACAACAATATTCAATAAATAAAACTAGTAATTGCACTTACTGTCGCTAGCCTAGCATTAGCTTACCGGCGTTTTAGGATGTGCAATCGCGGCTCCGCATTTTCATTAATTGTGACAAAACAAACAAATAACTCACCGTTGAGTCGATTGTGAGGTAGTGTAAAGATGAATGAATCGGCCGGGTTATTGCACGCTGTCAACTGGTCTGTAGTGTAAAATTTGTCGATATCTGACAAGTACGCCAACCACAGGGACAACAGCAGCCAGAGGAGCAGGGACATGCAGCTGATTGACCCGGAACTTATACAGGGTTCATTCCCGCCACAATTAAGGGACTGGCGGAAGTGGGGTCAGAAGTTACCGTGGTTACACTCTCCCCCCCAATCTCATGGATGTCCTCGTACATGGACTAGGCTGGCACCGAATGACTGGTTGGCTGAGGTGTGAAGGCATCGTCTCCTCTTCTTCTTCATCGTCTTGAAGAGCGAAGGAGAAGACAGAACTTAACCCATGCAGAAAGGTCTGAACGCTCTTTAACAGAGGCTTACCAGGCTTGATGTATTGCAGCCGATCAGGAGGATTCCTGGCGCGGGTTGAATGCCTCAAGAGTGGTTCTGCCTCAGGACTGAGAGGCTCAGATTCAGTAGGTGAGTGTTGTGACAAGTTACCTCTGGATGCTTCCGAATCAGAAGACAGACTTTCTTCATCGTGAGAAGTTTCTGCAAGATCAACTGGCTGAAAGCCAGCTTCCAAGGTTCCGTTAGCAATAACTTGTTCCTCTTCAACAGGTACAGGTTCCTCTGGGAGAATAGCATTCTCTTACTCTGTAGCCAATACTACGGGGACATCTGGCTGGTTGATAAGTGGAACAGGTTGCGGAGTATTGGGTAAGTCAATGGTTGTTGTGAAGGTGACCGGTTCAGCAGAGAAAGGAACAGGTAGGTATGAGATGAGTTCCTCTTCGTCATTGTCATTAGCATCATCAGCACGTACAGGAGACACGGGTAAGACAAGCATTTTTCTCTTCTGCTTAGTAAGCCTTTCCTTTTCAGAAGGTGGTAAATACCCACAGGGCAATAGGAGGTCTCGATGTAAAGTTCTCAGGGGCTTGTCTTGGCCTTCGGGTCGAACTGTATACACAGGAAGAGTGCCGGCTTTCTTCACTACAATGTACACAGATGACTCCCATTTATCTGCAAACTTGTGTTTGCCTCTTAGCCGCACGTTCCTCACAAGAACTCTGTCTCCAACATTCAGCTGTGATGCAGTGACATTTTTATCAAATCTGTTTTTGTTACGTTTCATCACCTTTTCAGAGTTTTCGATGGCCAGCTTGTAACTTTCTTCTAGGTGGGACTTTAGTTTTTCCACATATTGTCTGTGGGATGTTGATCCTTCTTTGGCAAGGGGTAGTCCAAAGGCCAAGTCCACCGGTAAGCGAGGTTGGCGGCCAAACATAAGCTCATATGGTGAGAAACCTGTAACATCATTTCTTGTGCAATTGTATGCATGCACCAGGGGTTTTACGAAATCTTTCCAATGGGATTTCTGTTGAGCTGTGAGTGTTCCTTTCATATCCAGTAATGTTTGGTTAAACCGTTCAACAGGATTGCTTCTTGGATGGTATGGAGTGGTTCTTATTTTGTGGATCCCAGCCATTTCACAAAGCTCTCGGATGATTCTGGATTCAAAGTCAGGGCCTTGGTCACTGTGCAAGCGTTCTGGGATACCATAATGCACAAGAAAGTTGTCCCATAAACATTTGGCAACAGTCCTGGCTTTCTGGTTTGGTGTTGGCACAGCAATGGCATATTTTGTGAAATGGTCAGTTATGACAAGTATGTCTTTGACTCCACGATCTGGTTCCACAGAGAGAAAATCCACACACACCAGTTCCATGGGATGAGAGGTTTTGATATTGACCAGAGGTGCGGCTCGTTCAGATAGAGATTTGCATCTCACGCATCTTTCACAGTGTCTTATTTTATTGACCACATCACTCGTCATCTTAGGCCAATAAAACCGGGAACGGACCAAGTCCAGCGTTCTGTCAATTCCCATGTGACCCATTTGATCATGTAGGTGGTGTAGTACAACTGGTCGATATTCCTCGGGTAGCACTAGCTGGTATGTGAAGTCACTTCCCACTTGTCTCTTCCTGACGAGAAGGGTGTTATGGAGCTCCAGTTTATTTACTTCTCGCAGTAATAGAGGTAGATCGGGAAGTTCTTCCCTCAGGAATGGTGGTGGTGACTCTCCTTGCTCATCCTGAGCTATGACATGCCGGATGACAGGGTCAAGGCATTGTTTGGCTGCAAGGTCAGCTGTTGAGATTTGGGGGAGTACCATGGAGGTGAACTGGATGTCGTCCGTGAAACTGTCAGGCAGACTGTTGACATTGACAGACATGGATAACACCAGAGCAAGATCAGGATCAGTGCTTGAACTGTACACCAGATGACGGTCACAAACTGCTTTGATGGTATGCTGGTCAATAGAGACATGATCTGGTTCATTGAGATGTCGCCATGCAGATCTCCAGATTCGCTCACGTTCTTTCTGTGACAGAGGATCATCAGACAGTTCACCATGAGGTCGGCGAGACAAACCATCAGCATCCGAGTTCTGCTTTCCTGCTCTGTAGATTAATTTGAAGGTGAAAGTGGACAAAGCTGAAAGCCATCTGTAACCGGTAGCATCACGTTTTGCTGATGATAAGAGATATGTTAATGGGTTGCTGTCTGTCACAACTGTAAATTGAGCACCATAAAGATAGTCGTGGAATTTTTCAGTCACTGCCCATTTCAAAGCAAGAAACTCCAATTTGTGGGCGGGATACTTTGACTCACTCCGGGAAAGACCTCTGCTGGCATATGCTACGACTCTGTTTTTTCCATCCTGCTCTTGATACAGCACCGCACCAAGACCTGTGGCACTGGCATCAGTGTGGAGTGTGTATGGTTTCCGGGGATCAGCAAATGCCAGAACTGGCGCAGAAGTAAGTTTGTCAATAATGGACTCAAAAGCTTGTTGACACATTTGCGTCCATCGTCCTCCAAATGGCTCTTTGGGGTTGAGGTAATTCTCTGGCTTTGCAGTTCGTCTCAGTTTCCTCTGGGAAGGTGGATAACCAGCAGTGAGATCATGCAACGGCTTGACAATGGCCGAATATCCCTGGACAAAACGTCTGTAGTACCCAGCAAAACCAAGGAAAGATCTTAATTCCTTCAAGTTTTTTGGCACTGGCCAAGAAGTGAGTGTGGAACTCTTCTCCGGATCAGTTTCAACACCAGCCTGGGACACTACATGGCCCAGATACTTCACAGATGTCTGGAAGAACATGCATTTCTCAAGTGAAAGCTTCAAGCCAAACTCTTTGAGTCTGGTGAGAACTTTCAGCAGGCGAGCTTCATGTTCCTCAAGAGTTGGTGCAAAAACAATGAGATTGTCAATGAAAACCAGGACTTCTTTTAGATTTAATTCTCCCATGCATCAGCTGTTGGAATGTGCTTGGTGCATTGGTAATCCCTTGTGGCATCCGATTAAATTCCCAAAATCCTAATGGGCAGACAAAGGCAGTCTTTGTCTTATCCTTCTCCTCCATTTCAATTTGGTTGTAACCTGACTTGCGGTCTAGCACCGTGAACCACTTTGATCCTACAAGTGCGGAGAAGATGTCTTCCAGTTTAGGCAGAGCATAAGCATCTTTGATTGTTTGCAGATTGAGTTTGCGGTAGTCAATACAAAGACGTACACTGCCGTTCTTTTTGCGTGCAACCACAATTGGAGAGGCAAATGGTGAGTCAGATTCTCTGATAATGCCAGAGTCAAGAAGTTCTTGCAGGTTTTTCCTTACAGCATCAAGATCTTGAGGGTGAATTGGTCGTTGTCTGCTTGAAAGGAGTTGGATCGGACAATTTGATTTGGTGTTTAACTTTGTTGGTCCTGCCGAAATCCAGATCGTGTTTGGCAAATACTTCAGGAATACTGTTGAGTTTTTGAACAATGCGTTCTTTCCAGTCTGGAGTTAAAGGGG